TCTTTTCTATCTGATCTCTATGTAAAAGGCAGTAGCTGCTAGCCGATACAGCCAATCCTCATGTCTATCATTGCAAACTGACTAGGTTGTCCGACAAGCATTCCATAGATACCGTGTTAAAACTTCGCTGCTAACAGCTCTCGAATTTTTCTGGACAAGGCATTGATTAGGGATGACATCTTCCTGTTAATTTATTTTAAATTTACATTTACAAAATTTTTATTTACTTATGGATTTAATGAATTTTTTTGAAATGCAAATTGATGATCCCTCTTGTGGAAATACATGACTCAAAGAAAAAATAAATAAGAAATAAGGCGAGCAACTGATATCATATGCCAAAACCCAATCATTACAATAAAAGGCACCGTATAAAACAGCCCTGCTTCATTCCTGTTATCTTCTAATCATAGTAAAAAACTCATAAACATATGTTTCAAAGCACATTTTCGAGATATACAAATCCAAAAATGCTCAAAGTTGGACGTCTAAGTTCCTTGTAACTAGACCAATATTATCCTAAATCTTCAAATATCTAATCTGTATTATGGAAGAGATATGTCGGTTCGTATGATAATGAAAGTTTTTTTTTTCGCATCCCAAAAAAAAGTCAAAAAAGTTTATTGAAAAGAAATGTCTAGAATAATTAATTTTCGCTATTAGTACATTAGAAAACAACAGAAGATTTTGTGTTGTCATAAATCATTACAGTCTTTTTAATTGACTGAATAACCTTCTTTGTCGTTTAAACATTGTAATCTTATTAATTTACTATCAAAATCCTTTGATGACAACTTTTGGTGCAAATCATGTGAAGTTAAAATTTGTTGTTTAAGTTTTCTGTATTCCCGGGACATAAATATTTAGTGAGAGTCATGGAATTAAATAAAAACATCAAGAATCAAATGTCGAAAACACAATGGTAAAATGAGAAATTGTTGCAAAAGATTTGTAGAAAATGAATGATAGACAATGGTCATATGTTAATATACATTCAGGCAGAGTTAAAGATATTTAAATATATATACACTATAGACATCTAATTAATGTTAAGATATAATTCGATTCGTTATAATTCTTTTAGTATTTCCTCGTTCTAGTGTTTTTCTTTTATTCTTTTGATATAATCCCTTGCTATTTTGATTTCAGGACATGAAAAAAAATTTTTTCTATCATACGAACCTATATACCTTCCATATAATAAGGACTACAGATTTGAAAATTTAGAATAATATTGGTCTAGTTACAAGGGGCAAAACGTCCAACTTTGAGCATTTTTGGATTTGTAATATAGAAGAAAAAGATAATTTTTTTAAAACAAGTATCAAGACTTTTAGATCACCCTATCTATCACACAAATAGTATTTATGCGATACAGTCGTTCTCCTTTCTTCGACAGAAAGAAAAAATATGATAGCCTGCCTAATGATGTATTTCGTTCTTACCCGATGAGTATGATAAACGCGCAACGAAAAGAAAATGATGAACAAGTGACTGCTACGCAATACAGAGGGACCCCTCTTTTTATATGTTATATAAAACTAATCATAGGCCAAAAAATAAAATATCATTTTCTCTTCTATGATAAAGTCGTAGCAAGGACGCGAGAGGCAATATCACGCATACCGTGTTCACGTGATATAGTTATTCTCTCTGCCTCGACAGAAAGAGAAAAAATGATCAGCTCCCTAATGATTTTTTTCGTTTCTGTTTGATGAGTCTGGTAAAGATACCGAAAAAAAAATGAATAACAAGTAGCCGCTACGCAATATAGGAAGACTCGTACTTTTATATCTTAGTAAGGAAAAAGGCACAATATGAAATTTACGTGTGGAACTCATGGTAATAACAGTTTTCTTGATACTTATTATATTCCAAAAGTTGCAGCTCAAATAGATTGCCTCTCCTTTGAGATTACACGTTTTAAAAAGAATCATTACATTCTCATGAAAGATCCCGAAATAGCCAATTTTTTAGGTATTTCATATCTTAAGAAAACCTTATTGGTATGAGCTGAAACTGTCAGATTATAATCAATACGATGAGATCTGTTATTGAGGAAAATTTCAGATGAAAATTCAGTAAAATGATCATAATTCGAGGAGAAAGGTTTAAGGACACGAACATTTTTAGAGGATATCAGTTGGAGACCTTTTCTGGTTAGTCTAATTTCTGTCTCGATGATACAAATTAATAATAGTCAAAGAAAAAAGAATTACCATTTTTGAATTATTTGAAAGTTAAGTTTTAGATTTTTTCGAAATTTAAATGATAATTGATAAAAATAATGTTTTGCTATATCACACAAATGTTACTTACAATATAGCAAATGAAAGCAACCAGTATAAATCAACTGATATCAGACCACATATTGCTACATTTGAGATCATAAATTATTCTCGAACAATTAGTAATAGCATATACATCAAAACAATTATTATCTTATAAAAGACACTATGACACAACAAAATTTATTAAATTAAAAGAAAAAAAAAGGAAGAAGATTGAATGAATTATACCAGAACAAAAAGAACAAGATTATCTGATACAGTTTCTTTCTTTTTTATATTCGAAGCAAAATTAAGGTACCGATGATCATAAAGAGTATCCGAAGTGTTCGTTTTGATGTTATTACTGAATTGCACAAATCTTTTTCACATCAGACATTAGCCAGAACTGAATTAGCGTTGATCTAGTCAATAAAATAATGATGACATTTATTTGATATCAATAAAAGAAAACAATAGAACTTACTTGAACATTACATCGTTCTTTAGCACAACCTCGGGTAATAACATCAGGACATGCAGCTTTGTAACATCTATTATCATCACCAGTACAAGATCTTATTGTATTACTCAATTGTATACAATTAATTGAGCATTCATCATGAGAATAGCATTGAAACAATACCAAAAAAAACACATTTTATTATCAAAAAAAAAAAAAAACAAGATGATTGCATTTCACTTCCACTAAGAGCAACATAACTAAGAAGTAAAATACCAACAACAATGATTGACTCCATGTCCTCTACATTTCTGATCTGATCAATGAAAAAAACCGTATCTTTTGCTGTCAGTTAGTGTATGTATATATTCGAGCAATAAGTATACTCTCGTTTTTATACTTCGCTCAATATAGACACGAAAAGAAAGAGAAAAAACGAAAATAAAGTAGAAAGAGATAGACAGATGATATTCCTTGATGTTCTTGTTTCTCTCTTCCATCTTTCATCTGATGACTATTATTTCGAATAATTTGTCAATGAACAAAAGAAATAGTAAGGCCTTTTATACTTGCCTGTCACTCCATAAAAGTCATTACTACGAAGAAAAAGAATGATGATGTTGAATGGATATTGAACGTAGCATAATCGAAATAAAAGAAAGAAGAGAAATAAAATTCAATGCTAGATGTTAACAATACAAATGGACATGGGTTTATATCTATTCTTTATTTTAATCGGAACTGTAGTCTGTTCAAAAGTAAGCAAAGAATAAACTTGCCAAATGTTTTCGATGACATGAGACATACACTTCATAAGAATGCAAATATTCATCGTACAATTATTCTAAACATAAAATAGGTCCAAGGGTTATCTTCTTTTAATAAAAGATAAATTTAAAAAAATTCTTCTGAATTGATAGAATAAACTTTTTTTTTAAAGAAATTTATCTTCTTTTAACAATAATCTATAAAAAGATAAAGATATAGATGCAAAACAGAAGTATATTTATCATTAAAAACAACATGTATAAATAAAAGCAAATAAACATGTCTGTTAATAACACAAATATTACCTTGTGCTTTGCATCGATGATTCTCTTATAAAAAAGATCAAACATAAAACAGTTTTTCAAAAAACTATCAAAGACATACCACAACCACACAATGTGCCTAACGGAAAAGTCATTTTCTAGAAATACATTCTTATACTACGAAAAAAAACAAATTCATTTTCGAAATAATTACATGAATGGACTCATAAATTTACAAAGAATATTATGACATACTGTTAATGTCAATAGATTTTTTATTAAATATTTGCTATTAATTTTATCACTTTTCTATTCGTCGCAAATTGCTAATGAAGTAGATGGCCAATGTTGAAAAAAACAAAGTCGACAGTTTATCTGAATAATAAATATAACGCCTGCAATGCATAGTACAATAATTACTACTTATATTTGCTCTATTTATTATAAAAAATACGTTTTGTTGAATATACATATATGATACTTTTTATTTCAAGAAAAGCAAAAGTTACTCTGCAACATAATCCAGCAGCTTCCAGAATTGATTTTTTTTTTTTGGTACTGATTGGGATTTTTTTATAAATTCCATTATATATGTTATTATCAAACGAAAGAAACTAGACTGAAAGCAGGTATCTAGTTGAGGGTCACGTCGAGAACGGTACCTGAGGATGAAGACTGACTCTTCAAAACTATCGTTCTCTTTTGATATAGTTAAAATATATTATATGCTATCAATAAGGATCAGTTCAGATAAATCCGATGATTTAAAAAGTCTAATAAATTCAAAAAAATGAACTTTGGTAGTTGCTTGCGTAATTAAAGTGTTAAAATATGTTCGCCGACAAACTTCTCTTTTTTTAAAATCAACGGATATGAAAACACATACACAGAAGGCTTTCCTAGGATATTTTTATTATAAATGATTATTCAGCAAATAGTTAATGTTTTCTAGATAATAGTTTCTCATGAATACACTGACTTCAAAAACAAAAATGTACAAATTAAAATAACAGATGGAGAATATCAATAATCATTAGTAAATATCACATGACGTTTGAGAATTTTTTCCTAATGCTAATTTATTTTATCTAAAAAGAGAAAACGAGAATACACACATAAAATTATTTTTATCATAAAAAAATTATTACACAGTAACACGAAATAGAATTTGAGTAGTATTGTAGATCATTTGAACTAAATCATCAATGTTCATCGTTTGAATTGTTTCAACTTTCATCAATGGTATTAGAAACAAGTCATGCAACGAATTCATCATCAACGATAGAGTAGAAATTCTTTTTTTATTTTAAATTTACCAAAAAAACAAAATTTGAACTATTTAGAAATGTAACTGTTAAAAGAAAAAAATTATGGATTATTCTGGGTATTACTCTTAGTATCATAGTCATTGCAGCAATAGTTATTCCAACTACTATCGTTCTTACAAAAAGGACAAAAGCACCAAAACCAACAACAACAATAACTACAGCAACAACATCAAAAATAGAAACAACAAATGAAAGTATGTAATCAGTTTTATGCATAAATATAAGCAAATTAGTTTGATACATAATCAAATCAATAAGATTCATTTCGATTTAGTTATGAATTCATCAGATATGACAATAACAAGCACAATGACAATGCAAACGACAGAGATATCAACAACAGATGAAATTTTGTCAATAAATAAAGGTATGTATAAAATATATCAAACAAATTTGACATATAATTAAAATTAATGAAATTCTTTTCAATTTATATTTAAATTTACCAACTCTACAGATATTACAACAACAACGATGGTGACTATGAACATGAAAACAACGGAAATGTCAGTAACTACAAGTGAAATTATGATGATAGAAAACGGTTTGTAATCTAATCTAAGTTTTATCAATAGAAATTATTTTTGTATGTTCTTAAACAAGAGATAATTGAATCGTTCAATTGGAAAAATAGAATACATAACTAAATCATTGAGAAATCTTCTCATTTTTAGTTTCTTTAAAAATATTTAGTTGAGAATATTCATCAACGGAACTAGAACTAGAATAATCGTTTTAATTATAACATTCAATTCATTTATCATTGTTTTTCATTATCTTTCTAGATACATTTGACATTAACAACAATAATAGTACAACAGTATCTCAGATCACTACATAACAATTAGTAACTAAAACAAAATACTACATAAACAACTGATCTATTCTTTTATTCAAGACTTTATATTAAAATAAAAATCATAATTAACTTGTTCAGAAGTTAAGACTTGATGTCTTCATTCATATTCAAACATATAAAATAAATTTTTCTTTGAATATGCAACAGCAGAATATTTTTCTCAAACAAAATAAAGAATTGATGAAAATTATATTAAGCTAACGTTTGTTATTTTCAGGCTGATTGATGTATTGGATAATGTTATATATACAAAAGGCATTCCCGTCTGTTCAATAATATAATGCCCGTGCCTATTTTTCGAACAACTTTCTCTAGGAAAAAGAGAGAGAGAGATCTGCAGTTTTTCATCATTCAAAAGAGAGCATCGAGGCCATAGAAGCTTGTCAAATTTGATTCGTTTAGCGGTTGTGACTCATCAGATGAAATCTCAATAGTCGTTTTCATCAAGAATATTCTGAGATCATTTTTCATTCGATTTACGAAACCCCAACACTTCTATTCCGCTTCGTTCATGAGCTATCACAGTTTTTGCAAGACCTCTGATTTCGATGAATTGGCTTGGGATCATCCGAAATATTGATATGAAGAGGGCTAACTTACCGCTCTGTGTCTATTGGTGATGTTTGTTTTAGTTTTCAAATAGCGACGGAGTCAAAGCGCAGGAGCATCAGTCTTGTTGTAGGAAAGCATTGGTGCCCTCGCTATATGCGTCGTGTTATCAAGAATCGACGGTGATAATTAGAGTAGCAGCACTTTCCAGAACAAGAAAGGAGTTAGTGTTCTGTCTTCGCTGCTATTTGAAACTAAAAACAAATATCATCATCACTAGATTCAGCGTTGTAAGTTGTGTCTCTTCAGATCGATTCCAGGCCAGCTGTTCGAAGCTAGAGGTCTCAGAAAAATTCTTATAGCTTGTGAACGATGCGAGATAGAGATGTTAGCTTTGCGCAAATCGAATGAGCACAATTTTTTTCTACAAAACGGTCATGTTAAAATCAAAAAAGCGAATGAAGAATGCATTCAGAATATTCTTTGTGAAAATATCGATTGAGATTTCATGTGATTGATCGATCGGTAAATGGATCAAATTTGACATAATTCTATGCCACTCTTCTCCAACACCTTCTTGTGAATGATGAAAATCGCAGATCTCTATCTTTTTCGTAACGATATTTATTCGAAAAATAGATATGGCCAGTATACTTTTCACAAGTAACATTAAAAAAAATATATTGAAAATCTTATCAAAAGTACTCTATTTTAAATAAATAACATCATTGGAAGTACATCAGATTCACACTGTGGTAATTGTTTAGTATACTCAGATTGATGAAATTCTTTTTGAAAACCAACTTTTTCATATAATCTAATAGCATCTTCATTATCATATGCTGTATGAAGATAAATAAACATATATCCATGTTTACGAGACCATTTAATAATATTTTCTAATAAATATGTTCCAATTCCACGTCTTTGTTCTGATTTTCTAACACCAAATAATAAAACATACAATCCACCATAAGAACCAATATCAGTAATCAATACACAACCAACACATTTATCATTTTCGTATGCACACCAAATATGATTTGCACTTTCAATGGTTACACGTAAACTATCATTTGTATAATATTTTTCGAATAATGGAAAAAGTACATCTTCTAAATGATATAATGGATAATTAAGATTGTGTGAAATTTCTATCATTTGTGAAGAATATATCGTTTTTATTGCTTCAAATATGAAGGATTTATATTATGACGTGTTAAATAATATCTATGAAATTATATAAAATATGTTTTTCTTATTTTTGCTTGTTTTTATTTCTCTTTTTATATATTCTTTCTACCTATAAGAGAATAAAGATGCATCATGTGCATGCTTGAGAGGTTTGCTTTTTTTATTAGATACTTATGAGTTAAATGAACAAATTTTTTAAATATTTTTATTGATTTTTCGGTTAAACATTTATGACTGCACATATTTTATCTTTTACTGTATTTCATTCTTGAATAAAATAATATAATTTAAAGCAGTGAAAGAATAAGTACAAAACATTAACATCAATGAAGAATAGAATATGACGCAAATCAATTATTGAGAACGACATTATTTTAATTGCTTCATATAATATAACAAGTATCACAAGTCATCGACAAGGACGAATATATATATTGCAATAATATTCATATATACTGTATCAAATAACTATTAAAAGAATGTTTAAAAGAAAAACAAATGTACAAGAGTGAGTAACGTGTAAGTCATATATATCCAATAGGAACGTAGGAAAACAAGTTTAAATAGATATTAACTATATTTTTTCTACTAGATAGTTAGGTAATTTAAAAAAAAATCAGTAAAAACTTCTATCTCAATGAATCGTTTAATAATTGAGAACATTTCTCAAATTCAATGTAAAAATTGAAATCGTGATTAAGTTCACTTACAAATAACATTCCAACGATCATGAGAGTAGTAATCTTTTTTCTTATTATTTTTTCGAAATTAAATGATCATTGACACATTATTTTGAATGAAAAGAAAAATATTGACTATCTTTTATCATATTTATGTATTAAGGCGATGGTCATATAGTCGATAGTGTTTTCTAGTAAACATCTAAGTATGGTAATAAAATAATAAAAATTCGTTTCAAGAGAGATGATTGAATAAACCATTCATTAACTTGAATTTGAAACCAAAGATCTATAGTTACTTCATTTACTTCTCGATAAGCAACAAAGAAAATAACTTGTTGAACCATGACGATCATATGATTAAATCAAATAGCTGTTAGTACAGTCTCTACGGGATTAAAATGTGAAACACAATGTAGCTGCTGTCAAGGCTCTCGATTATTTTTGAGAATAAGGGGAGAGCAAACACTTTTCATAAACTTTCGTAGATAGTCTGTTAACGAAAGCTTTTCAGAAACAGCTTTGGAAAGATCCACCTATCCCTCCTCAAGGATAAGCCAAATATCGTGAAAATTTCCATACACAAAAAACAAAAGTGGGGCCAAGAGAGGAGGATAGCTTGCAAAGATCCCCCGAGCAGCGTCTATTTAAAAATTTGCCAGACAGTAAAACAGATTTTCAATTTGTGCGGGGGGGGGGGGGGGGGGCCCCCCCCCCCCAACGGTAGCCCCTTTCTTGAACGTGTGGTAAACATAAGTTATATACAATTCAAACGAAAAAAACCATTATCAATCTACTGGTAAATGAAGTTTTCTTTCCGCACTTTTCTATCGAAAAGAGGTAGAGTTCGATATTTGTCACATTACTTTTGTATCATATGTTAGATTTCGTTGAAACGTAAGAAATGCTTGTATAAAAATCAAATAATTTTATTATCTATAATGAAAGAAATGTTTTTCAATGTTTATTTATCAATTTAAGAATTATTATTCATCAATTCTTTTATATCCATCAATGTTAAATATATAATAGGAATATTATCTATTGTATTTAACATATCAATATTCTCAACACGAAAGATACTGCCCATAGCAAATAGAACTTCTTCTTCGTCTGGAAAGACCGAAAATTTGGAAATATTAGCAACAGGTCGAACGTATTCACAAAACTGATGTATTTTGATGAAGAACATTATTGGAATCATATCATTGTTCGCCATGGATGAATTTGCAAAGTCAAGTGCAGTTTGAAATGATTTCGTTGTTGATAAAAACGTATTGATTGATATAATATTACCTTGAATCTTTTGAAAATATTCAAATTCTGCTTTGGACATATGTTGACCACGATAAACCATTATTATATCTTGTTGTTGATGTGAATTACATAATTTTTCTTGTCTGTATAATTCATTGAGTTGTGTATAGAGATCTTTAAGAAAATATCTTATTTTAAACATTCCATCGATATTATTTGATCGAAGTACTTGATTGATTCTTCGATAAAGAAATCCACTACGTGAATACCATTGAAGAGCAATATTTGAGTTGTAACTTTGATTGAATGTATTAATTTCAGTTAGAGCTGGTACATTATCATGATAGAATCGACGACATTCAACAATCATTTCATCACATGATTCTTTTGTATGTGGCATAGATAGAAGAGTATCAATTGTGTGTTGATGAGCTAAAAACACATGAGCTTGCTCTTGATTATAGACAATCCATGGGAATGAGGTTGTCGTTGTTTCATTATATGTTTGTAAATCAAGCTAAATAATTAATTTTACAATAAAATTTTTAAAAATCTCTGACTATACAAATTCAACTGAGAATAAATGACTTTTGACGAAAAAAGGTTGTTATAAAAATTATTCAAAATTCAAGTTTTAAAGATCTTTTGAATCGATTTCTATATTGAGATGGCAGAAAATCATTAATCGTACACATTTCAACTTACAATTCTTCCTAATAAGCGGACGGAGGATAGTGTCAAACTTGAAAGTTGAATTTCAAGTTTGACAATACTAAAACTTTCACAATAGATTATTCTTGTTAAGATCTATCTCTGTAAAAAATTTCAAATCGAAATTTGAAAATAAATTTCCCTAGTGCCCTTAGAGAGGCACCGTATTGATTTTTAAAAAAGTCATGAAAATGCAGTATCTTCATAGTATTCATAACTCAGTAGGGTCTACATAATGCACATAGTTCAGATTCCAAAACGATCAATCAATTGAGATATTTCCTTTGTAAGTCGAACTGTACACCTTCAACATGGTAGGCTACAGTTTAAAACTCTTTTTTTGTTCCGAATTTATTTCGTAATTTTAAGACAAAAAAAAGTTTGAATTCTATTAATCTTTTTTACATAACATGCAGCAATTGAGTACGAAATCTGTAGAATGTTAAAAGTTAAAATATTTTCTAAGCTTTGTTTTGAACTTCTCACCTGATTTGTAGTCGAATTGGAATACAGATAATTATTATTGATATAGTCAGATTGAGAACTTTGATGTAAATCTTGTTTTATTTGTTCACCAAGTTTTATCGAATCATTATAAATCCCTTGAATTTGAGAATAATCTTTTATCCAATCAATATTTAAACTAAGTCGAGAACAATAAATATATATAAATGAAATTAATGACATTAAACGAAAATATGTAAGAAATAATTTTTGACCAATTAGATCCGAAACAACAAGAAATATTTGTTTTTTTTCTTGTAATTGGTCTTCAATATATAGTATACAAGTTGATATATTATCAAAAAAATGCCATGTCGATGGTTGAATTATTCGATTCAGATATTCTTGAGAATAATCTATGGATTCATCAAGCCAAATAAATGAAACTACTTTTTTTCTTACTAACGGACGAAGTGGATAGATAGATAGAGTAGTTTGCACAGCATGCCGATCTACTATTGTATTTGTTTCACTCTTTGTTTTTATGATTTTTTCTTCTTCTTGACTAGTTAGTTTAGGCTATTTGAAAAGAATATTGAATAATATTAATTATTATAAAACAAAATCTTGATTTTACTTCTAATTGAAGATAACCATTTCGAATACATTGATCATACCATTCAAAAATTTCTGCAGTTACTTCAATTTGACGTTGATTAAATGTTTTAAAAGCTCGTCGAAGTGCTGATTGAAATCGAAGATTTTTATTTAAATCACTTAGATTAATTGGTGCTACATGATTTACTTTCCATTTTTCTCCGAACATAGATTTAAAATTCCATTTTATTTCATTATCAATAGGTTCATTTTCAAGAAAGGCACACCAATTGTCTTCATCTTCCATTACATGAATTTCTCGAGTAATCATCAAATTACTCCATTCACTTGAAATCAAATAATCATTACCATATAAATAGAATCTTAATGGTGATAATTTTTTAATTAATTTACAGATATATTGTGGATGTTCATTATTAAACAAAGCCGAATTATAAGGTATCAGATGTGGGTTTTCTACACTATCTATAGGAATATATTTATCTAATGTTCGAATGATGATTGATAGATAACCGAGTTTAGTACCTATAAGTACAGATATAAAAGACTTTTAATTCTGAATAAATAATTTATTTTATTTCATATAACATTTGAGTAAAGATTAACACAACTTTATGCAATGTATGGAACGAATAGTATTGTCGCTACCCTCGACAATTATGTTTATTGAGCTGTTTCATCACTCCAGTTCATACAAATAGAAACCTTATAAAGTACTCAGACATGAGAAGAGAAAAAATAGGAAGTAAAGTGTAAAGGTCATTTACCGTTATATTCTACACCTGTTTGTACAGGGTGAGTAAAAATGTTTTTCCAGGGGGGTAACGCTGTAATTTTAAATAGAGTCAATAACAAATTTTATACTAAATGAAAGCGCGTCAAAAATGGGATTTACTAGTATTAAATGGTAAGGGTTCTACAAAACTTTTTATATCAAAACATAATAAATCTCTAGAAACAGGATACATAAAAATGGTTTTCTACGGGATGATGCTATGAATTTAATTAGGGTCAATGATAAATTTGATATCAAATGAAAGGTCATCAAAAATGGGATTTGTCAGTATTAAATAGTAAGGGTTTTGTCAATCTTTTTATATCAAACATAACAAATTTATAGAAATTTTCGCTATTTTAGTATGAAAAAAGTTCTTTCATGAGACAGTTCAAAAACTAAATTTGATTCAAATTGATGATTTTCTACGAAGTAATGCTGCGAAAATTTATAGAAATTTATTATGTTTGATATAAAAAGTTTTGTAGAACCCTTACCATTTAATAGTAGTAAATTCCATTTTTGACGCACTTTCATTTGATATAAAATTTGTTATTGACTCTATTTAAAATCACAGCGTTATCCCCCTGGAAAAACATTTTTACCCACCCTGTACAATATCTCACACTGTAGCAAACTATTCTGCCTTTTAGTTTACTATATACAGGTCTGCTAATCATGTTAGTTATCTTTATAACGTAATAAATAGACTCTGTAGGAACGGTAATCTGAGATACTAACCGTAAGTAAATAGTGTGCCAAGTGTAACAGTTGCGAGATTCGAAAGTAGTATACACGAGCTATTCAATAGAGAATATAATGTACAAAAATTGTACTAATGTGATAAAGCACTTTCTCTCATATTAAAAACTTCTAATATCATTCGAACTTTCTATTGAATTCAAGTGAAGATTTCAATATTAGAATCTATCATTAGCTATGTAACTGTACTAAAGAATAATCTTTGTAAATAAAAACTTTAATCTTTAAATCTCATATTTTCATCATGAATGGAGCATGTTGAACTTTGATTGGTATTCATGCTGAGGAACTAGAAGGTCAACATTAACTTTTTCTTTAGACGAGGATATCTCAACATAGAAAATAAATCTCATGACGTTAGATCATTCATTCAACAGTTCGTTTCTCGAGTGAGTGCTCTGCTCTAATCAAGTTTTCCCTCAAAACTTCACAATCACGGCCATCAACAGAAAAGCGATTCGTGCTTAGACAATACCAGTCTTTATTTGTTAATGTGAAAATGAAGATTAATATATTTAAATAGTGGAAAAGCAGAAAAGTGCCAAAAAAGCCTTTTTTGGGTCCTAAGTTAAGAAAAAGTATTTTATTTCGTAAATCCTTTGCATTAAGGTCTATTGACTTCAGATTACCGTTTACGATCAGAGTTTTCATATGACTACTCTAATTTATTTATAGTACAAAAGAAGAAAAAACACTTTCGTACTGAATAGAACAACACAATATCACGTCATTACTTCAAATAACTTATATTTTTCTTCTTATACTTACAGATTTTTTGTATTTCTTCATAGGTGTTGTCTAAATTTTCTTGACTGCTATTCAGTGGAATGAGCAGAATATGACATGGTTCAGCCTGAAAAAAAATGGATGAATTGAAACAAAAATATACTAATCAAATATGTTATACTTTGATAAATGACATGGCCCATTCTTTCAACAGTCGTGCTTGACGATAATAGACTTGGGCCAACAGTATTTGTTCTAATTTTGCTTGTTTTTCACCCTCAACCGTGAGAAAATATACGATATCTGATGTTAAATCTAGTGAAAGTTGTTGCCATTGTTTATTTATAATACGACGTAACTTATGTCGTTCAGAAGCGTTGACGAAATCGTTTTGACTGTAAATTGCTTGAACATGATGATTGGTTTGAAGACGATCAAAAAATTCATCAGTAATTAGATCAAGGAGAATGACAAAATATCGATGTAAACATGTATCGCAAGATTGAGGGTCGACAGTGATTATACGTTCGAGTGATGCTTCATCAATAGCAAGTTCGAAAGAAATTGGAAATCGTAGATTAACATTTGAAATACTTTTGCTGGAACCAAAAACGATCACAATAGGTTCAAATGAAGTCATAGAATATTTCTATATAGTTTAGTGTCCTTTCACGATCGAATAACCAAGCCTTTGTGTTACTTACTTCAATGGGATGGAAGTAGAAATGAGAAAGAAAAAGACACGTGTTTTGGGATACGTATGACGTCAGAACAGAAAGTTGGAAAAAACCCGAGTTTTTGTTTTTTATTTTCATGAA